TGGGAGTGGCCCGCGTCCCTGGCGGTTTCCAAGGGCACTGTCATGTCACTTGCTGATCAGTCGCTCTTGTTGGTTCCTGCTTCGGCTCGCAACTGACTCTGAATCGTCATTTTTCGAGATTAGCTTTCCTTCGGACCAGGGGTATGGAGGGGTTGCATTCAGAATACCGGACTTGCGTATGATGCGTATGATGTGATCGTTCCAGGAACAACAGTACGTTGCCGGCGGCACGATTTCTTCCTCATAAGTCGAGGAGTCCATCCTCCCTAGGCAATCAGGCGCTCTGGGTGTCAACATAGCTATCACTGGTATTTGACGTGATCGCAACTGTACCCATTTTCTGATGGAGTCGACAAAACGGTCAAGCTGCCATTATGGTTAGCCTCATATGCCAATGTAAGCTTCAGGAAAGGCCCAGGGCTCGATATCCCTGAACCCCTGTGCATCGCTATCCTACGAACCGTCCATCTGGTAAGCTGTGCCGCGAAAGTAGCGCATCATTAATTGACGAGTCGCGGAATGGAATGACAGTTTAAAGTCGTGATGCAGGTTGGACTGCGCGTCGTGAGAATAAGAAGTCGTCGATGCTTCTTTGCCTGGCAGGGCAAGCCTAGTGGAAGACACCGTGCACAAAAGCGTCTTTGGGCAAGAAAGTAGTGAGTTCGCACTGTGCCCCGGTCACCATTCCACTTTCCGTATCTGGAAGCAGGCACGGCCTGGACCCGGGGCTGCCCCGGGAGACTTCCAAGGGTCAGCAGCGTTTGTAAGTGTGCCTCGAATCAACATATTTATTTCCAAATTCATCACCTTGTCATTTTCTATGCTATGGTAATTCTAATTCTAATGTGGATGGCGCTGAAGGTCTACAGACTAGCGATACATGCTCAGCGAAAGGTTGCTCCTCATCGCAGTTTTACTTTCGAACGAAAGGCTCGTCTTCCCACTCCGTAGTCGGAGGGGTCTGAGAAAGCCTCCAAGAGCCACACTTGCCGTTGCTGGCAACGAAAGCGCCATCAAAGTTGGCCCTGCGGCCGTAGCGAAGATCGCCAGGGTTGCCGCAGGTGTCGGTGGAAGGCCTGAAGGTAAAGCATGCGCCGCGGTAGTACAAGCTACCCGTGCAGCCGTTCTCCAGCTGGCACGAGACGCAGCAGGCGTAGGCCGAGTCGGCGTGGCGTCTCTCACGGGTGATGCTGTAATCGTTGGCCGCTTGAACGATGGGGCGTCTGCCAGGAACGTGCGAGACCAGGTTATCGGACTGGCAAGCTGCGTAAAGCGTCGCAGTCGGCATCGATGCAACAGTGACGGTCGACGTAGTGTATGTGGTGGTGGTTGTAGTGACCTGTGCAGGGACGGATGGGACACTCTGGCTAGGCGTCGGTGCGGTGACGAACGTCGTGAAGACGCCAGTGATGGTGTTGTCCACCGTGGTGGTGGTGAAGATGCGAATGACGCGCTCGCAGTGGACAACCTGAGGGAACAGGGGAGGGTCGGCGACAAGGGCAGCATTGTTGGCGTTAAGGCCAAGCACCAGAGGCTGCCTTACAGAACGCTCCTCGATGTAAGAAGAATCACCACCAACATTCTGGGCACTGTCACGGACGAGAGCAGAGGCGAGAGGTGTGAATCCTGCTGGTGCTGGCACAGTGGCGAAGGTGCCTGCAGTGATGCTGGTGATAGTTGTGAGAGTCAGGGTGCTCGTGATGGTAGCGGGACCTGTTTGGCCAGTAGGGGGGACGCCGGTGGGAGTGATAGTCACTGTCACCTTGGATGGGGTGACGTAGTTGTAGTAGGTGACTGGCGTGGTGATGGAATAGATTCTGGAGAATGTCTCTACATTGGCGACTGACCTCGGGCCGAAGTCGGTGTAGCATCCATATTCGCCCTGGACAGTTGAAACGGAGCCAGCCGGGGTTGTGGTTGTGATGCCAGACGAAGCGGTGAGAGTAGATGAAGAAGTAGGACCAGAAGAGGTCGTGAGACCGGAAGTCGTAGGACCAGAGGAGGTCGTAGGAATAGAAGATGTAAGGACAGACGATGTTGTGAGGACAGATGATGTCGTGGGACCGGAAGAGGTCGTAGAAATAGAAGATGTAAGGACGGATGATGTCGTAGGGGTACTTGTCGTAAGAACAGATGAAGTCGCAGGGACAGATGAAGTCGTAGGAACAGATGATGTCATGGGAACAGATGAAGTTGTGGGATTAGATGAGGTTGTAGGAACAGACGAAGAAGTAGGATCACTTGAAGTAGTAGGAACTGATGATGTCGTGGGGACTGGCGAGGTCGTAGGGACTGATGATGTTGAAGGAGCAGATGATGTCGTAGCAGCAGATGATGTAGGGGCAGAGGACGACGTAGGGGTAGAGGACGTCGTAGCAGCAGAGGACGTCGTAGCAGCAGACGATGTCGTGGCAGTAGACGATGTCGTGGCAGTAGACGATGTCGTGGCAGTAGACGATGTCGTGGCAGTAGACGATGTCGTGGCAGTAGACGAGGTCGTAGGGGCAGCAGACGATGACGTGGCAGCAGACGACGTAGGAGCAGGCGATGTTATAGCCGCGGACGAAGTCGTGGCGGGATCAGACGAGGTGGTCAGAACCGAGGACGTCGTCAGAGCAGACGATGTTGTGATACCAACGGTTGTCGTAGAAATTATAGAAGAGGTTGTGAGGGCAGAAGAACTGGCAAGAACAGAGGAGGTCGTAGGAGCGGAAGAGGTCGTGGGAATAGAGGGAGAGGTTGTGGGTACAGAGGAATCTGAAGAGCTAGAGGAGCTCGTCAAAAGAGACGAAGAAGACGTGAGGCTAGAAGTGATTACAGGGCTGGAGGAAGTAGTAAGGACAGAGGAAGAAGTCGTAAGGCTTGACGAAGTTGAGGGGTTAGATGAGCTCGTCAGAAGAGATGAAGAAGTTGTGAGGCTGGAAGAGGTTGCGGGGTCGGAGGAAGTCGTCGAGCTAGACGGAGTAGTAAGGATAGAGGAGGAGGTTGTGAGGCTCGACGAGGTTACAGGGTTAGAGGACGTCGTAGGGATAGAGGAAGAAGTCGTGAGGACCGAAGAGGTCGCGGGGTCGGAAGAAGTTGTCAAGCCTGAGGTGGTCGTGAGGACAGAAGAAGAAGTCGTGAGGCTCGACGAGGTTACGGGGTTAGAGGACGTTGTGGGGACAGAGGAAGAAGTTGTGAGGCTAGAAGAAGTCGTAAGGCTAGAAGAGGTCGCGGGGTCGGAAGATGTTGTCGAGCCTGAGGGAGTCGTGAGGATAGAGGAGGAGGTGGTTAGGCTTGACGAGGTTACGGGGTCAGAGGAGGTTGTTAATCCTGAGGGAGTCGTAAGGACGGAAGAAGAAGTCGTGAGGCTCGACGACGAGGTTGCGGGGTCAGAGGAAGTCGTCGAGCCAGAGGGAGTTGTAAGGATAGAGGACGAAGTCGTGAGATCAGAAGAGGTGGAGCTGACGGAAGAGCTCGCGAAGGTAGAGGAGCTCGAGGAGCTTGTGGAGATATCAGTGGCCCCTGGGATGGTGATGGTTGTTGAAACAAAGCTTCCCTGGACGAGCAGGACGGCAACCGCCAGTCCCGACCTCTTGCTGAACACCATGTTGACTTCGTGGATGAGAGAGAAAACGAGTGCAGAGATGAGTCGAGCGTGCTCCAAAAAGTCACCCGGCATCTGGAAAGAATGAGGTCAATCCTTATAAGACATTGGTGATGCCTCTGAAGAACCCTGATGACAGGGAAAAAGGTTCAGGTGGCTCGTCTAGAGTGCATGATTGTTGAGGCGCCAAACACGGCATGCAGATCCAGAAACATGAAATCAGTTGTTTGCAGCCGCCTTCGGTAGTTGAGATCAGTAATTGAGTTTGCAGAGACAGCAGCCATCTTCTTCCGTGGACGGCGCCAGGACAGATGAAGGATCTAGAGCGTCCAACAACTTCGCGTGCGTCGAAATTACCAACAGATCCAAAGCCTGTGATGGCCTGGAAGTCTTGTACCACAGGAAGGGCAAGCACATGTCTGATCTACAATGGCTGAGGTCGATGGCGAAGGTTTCAGGAGCCATGACGTTTGGATGGGAATATTTTTCGATGCCATAGATTTCCATGATCCGAAAATGTGGTCTTCGCACGGCATTCTAGCCATCGCACCACCACCTTCGTCACTCATTTTGAGTCGCATTCTCGCGCTTTTTCATGTGACTGTCAGCTCAGATTGACTTTCCATGGTGGTTAGCTAGCAATCTGATCTCTGTTTTATAGCTTCAAAACCCCAGCTCAAGCCAATTCAGTCTTTGTACATTCGTTTCGTGCAGCGCGTGGGCCAGTCGAGTAACAGAGCGGGAGGACAAATAGAGCGCATATTTCATATATGTCCAGAACTCCGCAAAATCAATTTATACTGATGGAGTGGTGTAACACAGCAGGACTTGGGAACATACTCAGATTGCGTATCTCGGGAGCGCTTGCTTCTGAGTGAAGTCTTCGCAAAGAAATTGCTAATGTATTTGACAACTGCAATGATCAGAACTGGACATTCACGTTTTCGGAATAAAAGAAACTGAAGTTGCCCTGCTATCTGGGCCTCTCTCGAATGATTGATCACAGGATTACATCACGACTAGTTCACACGCTTTGAAAGAATTCAAAGTGAAATGGAAACGATTTAGGAAAGCCTCATATTGGTCCGTCAATGAGTACACCACCATCTACAGCAAAGGAACGTGAGCAGAACAACCCGCTTCTTGGCTTCAAGGCAGTAGGTCTGTTGAGATTCAACTCGCACAAAATCAGCAATCTACTGAGGCCGGCCTCCAGCACGTATGCTGTGGTGACAAACTAGAACTGGCTCTGAGAAATCTCACAGTAGCTGTCATATTAGACAGCTACCCCGCATCCGTATGCACTGTCAAAACGTCAAAAAGGTCTTCCAGCAACATTATTCAAGCTTGGTCAACCAAGATTCACGGCAAATGACAAAAATGGAAGGAAAGTTGAAGACATGTACAAAAACAATGGACACTGTGGGAATTGAACCCACGACCTTTCACAATTGGCAGCGCGCAGAAGCGACGATGCGAAGCGAAAATCATACCCCTAGACCAAGCGCCCGTTGTTATTTGAAGATAGCTGTTTTGGGTAATATGTAGCCTGACTACAGAGGGCCCCGCTCGGTTTCCGTCGCAGCCGTTGAGCTCCGCGCTTGTGGACCGATAGGGCGCGACGGGCCCGCAAGAACAGGGACACGAAGCTCCGCGCGGGTCCTTGTGCTGTTGGAATGACGGAAGCATGAAGAGGCACGGCAAGTTTGGGCCGTATGATGCCGTCTTCGATGGACCCCGATTCCATTGCCTTCTGAAGGCCGACCCATCGATGGAATCATGATAACCTCAAGACGACGAAACTCCGAGCTGGAAGCCAGCGCCTGGCCGTAATCCACACCAGGTCCGCAAGCTGCATCATCTGGCCGCGCAGAATGCCGACGGTCGCCAGACGGATGTGCCTCCGAGGACACAAAGGTGTGGTGCCGGCGCGAGCAGCCAGCACGCGCCAACAATCGCCGAAGCTCTACCCCTCATTGTACAACCCGACAGATCGCCGAGCCATCACCGTGGAGACAAGACACCTCTCGGGCTCGAAGCTTGACGACAAATCTCCGTACTAGCCACCCGAGGACGCATGAGTGCTGATTTGTGCATGGCCTGAGGGAGCTAGGACGCAGCTGGAAACGACCAGGCCCCTGGAAACCGACAGCCGGCCTCTCTTCTGCGCAGACACGCGGCGGATTGGGAGGACAGCGGCGTGCTCTTGATGCAGGAAGCTGGTGGTGTGTGTGATGGTAACAGATGATCAATTGGTAGCGGCGGATAACGATTGGATTGCATTTCTTGTATTAGGTGATGGGATCTGGTCGCGTTGGATGGAACAGCGGACGTATGATGCCAGGTTGGAAGGTCCATTTACCCCTCACTCTGACCTGCATCTGCCTCTGCTTAGCCACGATGGATGGACGGACGACATCTGCTGTTGATTGTCGATGGTCTTTCCCCGGGCGTGTCGTGTAGCCTTGTCGTGCGTTGCAAGGGTACGCGCCAGACGCCAATTGGGTGTTGCTTGGTATCTGGGTCGAGCGAGGTGGATGGCGGCCCTGGTCGCAGGGCAGACCAATGTTCCATGGCTGCAGACAACGTTGAAGTTGAAGATTTGCCGGGGACTGCGGCGTTTCATCGCCATGGGAGGTGCTGCCAACTGAAGCGGGCAGCTTGTTGCTCGGGTGGAGGGGACGAACCATGGCGGCTGGACGAGCGACCAATGGGGGGAGCCGAGCAGATTACCCCACGCATCCTAGCCAGAGGGTGATTTGGAGATCCCGAATCGATAGTAATTAGTAGTGAGTGTGCATTGCAGTGAAGGAACCTGAGGTGCAGATTGACAAAAGCCGTTGCCGCACTTGGATACTTCCACTTACTTCCTCGCAGGGTGAGTGTGGCTAGTTGGGTAGAGATGAGACTAGCCAGCCAGAGATCACCGTTTCTCGCTAGGTAGTCGGTATCTTCGTTTCCTGTCGGACGAGATGCCGTGCTTGCGTGCCTCCTCACTCCTCGTCAGTTGCCGCACGTACATGCCATGTTCCTCCCATTAGCTGGGTCTTAGCAAGCAGTACCTTCCCGGTTATGCTCCAGCCTCGCTGCCTTCCCGAACCTTCATGTTTCCGTCCGAGTGTGAGTGGCTGACTATTCAAGGAGATACTCTGGGAAGGAGGGGCAATGGGAATCTGGCATCTCGGAGAGGTGGAGGACGGCCGACATTGGACAACGGGCGGGAGGCAGACACGCAGCTCGGAGAGGAGAAGCTGGCACATCGAACCAGCCCAGACCACGCAGACGAGCGCTCGTCGGATTGTATTGCCTCTTTCTGAACGTTCAGCCATGTACACCATGTACCACACTTGCTCCTGTCGGTCATGTTCCCCGCCCTCTTCATCCCGGCCTCTCGGTGATGCCTGCAAGCATAAATAAACCTGTACCAGCCGCTTTTCCGTGTCCTATTTTCATCCTCATCTCATACAAACACATCTCATCAGCCTAGTCTGCAAGATCCCGAGTCTACGGATCTGTTACATCGCTCTAATCTCTTCTTCTATATAACGACCACCTCCCACCTCACTCAACACCACATTTCTTGTCTCGACAAGCTCATCCTCTACACACATCTTCAAAATGGTATTGTTCTCTCGCAACCTTCGCACTCTTGCCCCTTCTGTCTCTCGGGGACTTCACACGTCCTCCAAGGCATCTTTCCTGGCTCGGCCTGCCATCAGCAGAGCCGTTGCTCCCTCCACGGCCCTCCCTCGCAAACTGCCTGGCCAGCTTTCTTCGATCCGCACACTAACAACTACTCCCCACAACCAGGTCAAGGTTCTCGCAGTACTCTACGACGGCGGCCAGCACGCCAAGGACGTAAGTGCCATCTCACTTCCTGTTCCCCCAGATTCCCACAATGGCATCCGACACACCCGCGCCTTCACCACCAAGAAACGTCACTATGATAGCTCGCGCGGAGCTGTGCCCCGCCGTGATCTCAAGCAGGATGTCTCGCCTGCAGAGAGCTAGTGCGGGGATGACGGGAGGTGCGGGGCTCGGAGGTCGATCGCTGATACATCGGCATTCTGCCCCAACTCTTGGCAATGACCCTCCGAAACTACCAAATGCGGGGTGCATCGCAACCATCCCTGGAGCTTCTGGGCTGACTTCGAAACCACACAGGTCCCCGGCCTTCTGGGCACCACCGAGAACGAGCTCGGCATCCGCAAGTGGCTCGAGGACCAGGGCCACACCCTCGTCACCACCTCCGACAAGGAGGGCGAGAACTCCAAGTTCGACCAGGAGCTCGTCGACGCTGAGATCATCATCACCACCCCGTGAGTACAGACCGACATCAGCTGCATCACCATGTTCCATCACGACTAACACGCCTTTCTCTCCCAGCTTCCACCCTGGCTACCTGACCGCTGAGCGTCTCGCCAAGGCCAAGAACCTGAAGCTCGCCGTCACTGCTGGTATCGGCTCTGACCATGTTGACCTGAACGCCGCCAACAAGACCAACGGCGGTATCACCGTCGCCGAGGTCACTGGCTCCAACGTCGTCTCCGTCGCTGAGCACGTCGTCATGACCATCCTCGTCCTCGTCCGCAACTTCGTTCCCGCCCACGAGCAGATCGAGCGCGGCGACTGGAACGTCGCTGCTGTCGCCAAGCAGGAGTACGACCTCGAGAACAAGGTCGTCGGTACCGTCGCCATCGGCCGCATCGGTGAGCGTGTCCTGCGCCGTCTCAAGGCCTTCGACTGCAAGGAGCTCCTCTACTACGACTACCAGCCCCTGTCTGCCGAGAAGGAGAAGGAGATTGGCTGCCGCCGCGTCGAGAACCTCGAGGAGATGCTCGCCCAGTGCGACGTTGTCACCATCAACGCTCCTCTGCACGAGAAGACTCGCGGCATGTTCAACAAGGAGCTCATCTCCAAGATGAAGAAGGGCTCTTACCTCATCAACACCGCCCGTGGCGCCATCGTCGTCAAGGAGGATGTCGCCGACGCCCTCAAGTCTGGCCACCTCGCCGGCTACGGAGGTGATGTCTGGTTCCCCCAGCCCGCCCCCGCAGACCACCCTCTGCGCACCGCCAAGAACCCCTTCGGCGGCGGCAACGCTATGGTTCCCCACATGTCCGGTACTTCCCTCGATGCCCAGAAGCGCTACGCCGACGGCACCAAGGCCATTATTGAGAGCTACCTGAGCGGCAAGGAGGACTACAAGCCCGAGGACCTCATCGTCCACAAGGGCGACTACGCCACCAAGGCCTACGGCCAGCGTGAGAAGAAGTAGACGTGGAGGATGATGGCATCATACCCAGTGAGGGATATTTAAGTGTTATATATCAGCGTTGAATTTCGAGTTATGCATCGGCATTGCATAGTGCTTCCACAAAAGGAGGACTAGATTGTAGTATATAGGATGCAATCTAATGCGATGTTCAAAAAACTTCTGCTGAAAATGCGTGGTGGTTCTGTGACTGGTGTGAGGATATCCTCATGATAACCGACTTAATCTGTTGTTGGTGACAGTGGCTGCTTTCGCTGGTTTATTCGTCCCCTCCCAACTTCGTCTGCAGAACTCCTCCGTACTCAACAACATCTTATTAGCTGCTCGCTTCCGTCTCACACGCCTTGGCTGTCAAACAGTGGTTAATAGTGTCACTTATCATGGAGCTGCACCCATTTGACTGGAAATCGCGACGCTGATTGAGTGCATGGGATTTGAAAAGATGAGGCCGGTCCCGTAGCCCCCATGTATATGCATTGCTTTCAATTACAAGACAAGTAAGTAGTACAGGTGCGTCTGTGTTTTCTGTTCCCTTCCTGGGGGTCCAGACGACGCGGTGTCGTCGAACAGAATTCCGTGTGCCGCGCGACCTCTCGGGTCCGTCTTCTACCACACTCAACGGCGATGTTTTCATAAACAGCCCTTCCCACCCATTGTGCTCCAGCCGCCTAAGCAACAAGAAAGGCACAGCGCGCGCGCGCGCGCTTCCAAGTTGCCTGGTTATTTTTGTTTTCCAAAAGAGAAGTACAACTCCATTTTTTTCAAGAAACACAACCGCCCATAGATATATATACTCCCCTCTCCAATGCTCCAGACGGAAACGTCTTGTTCCCTTTGTGCAAAACCAAAAGGTCTAATCAAACAACCGCACCCGCCAACGGCCTAAGAGATGCTTTCGATCTGGTGGTAGAGAAAAGGCCTTTCTCACGACCGTTTCCAAAACTGCCACCAGGGCCGCTCCTCATGTCCCGCATGTCTCGTCTCGCGCTTGATCACCTGCTGGTCGCGGCCGCGGATGCGCCAAAAGTACACTGGCACGCCGGCGACAACGAACAGCACGACGGTGACGGTCTGTAGCGGCTGCGCGAAGACGGCGCGGCTGAGGAGGAAGAGCGACACGCAGCAGAAGATGATGGGCGTCGTAATCCACGTGCGGTACGGCCTGTCGAGCTGCGGTTCGCGGACGCGGAGGATGATGAGACCCAGGACCGTGATGAAGTAGAACGTGTACCCGG